CCTACCTCTCAGGAGTGTACTTTTACTTTTACTTAATAAACTACGTTTTCTTTTCACTGAACACTTGGCGTGTTTCGTTCAGCTCTTTGTGTGAAACACCAAGAACCTGGATCTCGTCACGGAAGCCATGCTCCACACGAGGTTCATAGGACTGCCCTCTCTGCATCTCAGGGTAGGAGCGGAGCGGTCCAGACTCTAGGTGGGCAGCAGGAAACTGGAACCTGGGTGATGTCTGTCTCCAGCCCAACACACCTGCCCATCTGAAGACTTCCTGGTACTTCAACTCATCAAAACATCTTTAAACAGTCCTTCTCAGTCTCTAAGGAAATTGAGTGCTGCATTTACAGGACACGAGTCTTCTAAGCAGAGAGAGGCAATTCACATGCTTCGCAGAAAGACGAAACCTCCATTCTTACCTTCAGAGCTTAATACTCATCTATCTTTTGAGAAATTATGCAAACTAAAAATAAAAAGAGAAAGCTTGAAATGCAAGGAATAAATTGCTCTGTACATGCAAGTGAATTGTCCCGTGTTTAATCTAACATACTTATACATAAAACTTCATGGTTAAAACTTTGTAAGTAGAGGTCAGCAGATAGTGTAATGGTTAAGGCACTGGACTTCCATGTGGCTAACCATGGTTCAAATACCAGACCTGGTGGCTTGGAAATCATGCGTGTGTATGTGTACCCAAAATCTCAAAAGGAGAATGGAGAAGGGACCACAGTGTGGACATCCCCCAAAGGGGGTGATTTCTCACTTTCCCTCTCTCTGTTTCTGACTCTCACTCTCTGGTGAGCACACATGTCCTGTGGCAAAGAAAGAATTTTTTTTTTAATTTAATTTTTTTAAGTAAAGAAATGTGGGAATTCTTACACTACAGCTAGGGTAACTATGGATAATATTTTAATATATGTATGCGGGGACTTCAGAAAGCTCATGGAAAAATGAAAGTGTGAATTTATTTTGGTGGAAAGAATTCTGAAATTCATGAAGAACATTTTTTCATAATATGGATTTTTCCAAGCCCTTTGACGACCCCTCCTATACTAAGCATTATTTGCACCAAAAGAGCCAGAGATGAGGAGTCAGCAGAAAGCAGCCTCTCCTGGTGAGGCTGCAGAAGCCACAGCAGGTGCACGCTCCAAGTTCACTCCCACTGCACCACCCAGAAAGCACTGCTGCTTTTCTTTAGCTACTTGGGGAAAATTTAAGAATGATCTTGATTTTGGCTGGGTGCTTAGCAGTGGTGAGTCACTGTACATTGGGAGCCAGATCCCGCATGGCCCGTCACAGATCCTGATCCTGTGGCTTGAAAAACCTATCGAGGGACCAACAGATGTATAATGGTGACATCACTGGATTCCCATGTAGTCAACAGTGGTTCAAATCTCAGACCTAGTGGCTTAAACCTCACACCAGGTGTGTGTACATGCGTGCCCAAGATCCTGAGAGAATGGAGGAGAAGGGAATGCGGTGTGGCCACTCCCCCCCCCCCCCCCGAGTGATTTCTCATTGTCTCGCTGTCTCTCCAGCAAGAACACATGCCCTATAGCAAAAATCCCTCTAAAAAGAAAAACTTACCAGAGGGGCCAATTAATGACGTGGTGGTGAAGGCCCTGGACTCCCACATGACCGACTGCAGTTTCAGTATCAGACCTGGCGGCTTAAAAAATCATACTAGGCTCCTGTGCGTGCCCAAAGTTCCAAGAGCAGAAGAGAGACAGGACTGCAGCGTGGCCTTCTGGTAAAAAAAAAAGAGAGAGAGAGAGAGAGAGAGAGAGAGAGAGAGAGAGAGAGAGAAAGAAAGAAAGAAAGAAAGAAAGAAAAAGGAGAAGAGAAGAGAAGAGAAGAGAAGAGAAGAAAAACATACCAGGCATTTGTAGGTGTGTGCCCTAAATCCTGATGGGACAGAGACATGGAGACAGACTATGGTGTGACCATGTCCGATTGTCCCATCAGGGGGTACTTCTTTCCCCCACGTGAGCCCGCACAGCCTCTAGCAATAATAAAAAAAATGCGGAAAAAAAAAAAAAAAAGAAGAAGAAAGAAAGAATGACCTTGCTTTTTACCGCCCAATGTTATGCCGGAAACATTTGCTTTTTCAGGAAGCAAGTGGCTATCTTTTCTTCTTTCAACAAAAGCCAAAGCGTCAGGGAGATAATGGAGCCGAACTGAAATAGCGAAGCCACTCTCTCCATTTATAAATATGCCATCGTCTCCTCTTCAAAAGTGGGGGACTAGAAAGCTGCTCAGCTGAAAGCAACCTCTCTTGTCCCCATGAGAGACAGGGGAGCAGGAAGCCCTGGGGTCAAGAGCATGGCCGCGTGGGGCTCCTGTTTCCCGCTCACCCGTGGTTCCCACAACAGCAGCGGTACCCCCAGGAACAAGCACATTGTGGCAGAGCCAGGCAGGGGCAGCACGGGGCACACGCGGAGCCTCACTGCCAGTGCAGTGCCAGACACACCTGCTGTGACACCACGAACCCAGGCCTTGACACCATGTACAGGCGCTAAGGGGCTAACTAGGACAAAGACCTAAGTTTAAAGACAGGTAGCTTTACTTCTTCCTTAAGTTCCTCTCTTCTATGAGAGAGACAGACAGAGGTGGTAGAGGGAAGAGGGGGGAGAAAGAGAGAGTCACCTCCGACAGGGGTCTCCTGCCATGATCCACCCCTGGCCTCAGCAAGCCAAGACCTTGGGCACATCTGCACATGCCCGGTGTGTACAGAGAAGTCCTGGGATGCAAACTGGGGACCTTTCCATGTGTGTCAGCTAGCTACCGTCTGGTCCGAATGCAATCATCTACAACTTTTCCTCTCCTTCCCTTCAGCCAAGACCTTTGGACAAGACCAACCTCGGCCTCTGCCGCAGGCACAAACCAGGGCTTCACTGCACACCCGACTCTGCTCTCTGCCTGCCTGACCAACTACCTGCCATCTTTCGGGGCCTCCGGGCCACCTCCCCTTCTTCTCCACTGTCACATCTGGATGTGGTCCTCATAAACTCGCAGGCGTAATCCATCATGTTTGCCTTCATTCATAACATTTTTGAGCACCTACTATGTTCCAGGCACTACATAAAGAATGCAAACACGAATACTGCACAGCTGTGGTCCTCCCAGTCTCCGTAGAGGACTTGTAAATTAAATAAATAAATAAACAAACCAGTAGTAACAGGAGTCACACAGCAAGGCATGCCCACCTCCACAGATGAGGGGGTGACCATGTCACCTTGGCATGGCTTATGTCCATATGGCTTTCACAAAAGAAACGACATCTGAGCTGACTCTTGACAGGTAAAGGAGCGCAGGAGAGGAAACAGTCCTCGCAGGAACGCCGAGAGCCAGGAAGGGCAAGGTGTTCACATGGCCTGATGCCCAGTGCACGGGAGGACAAGGTTGTGGTCAGATTCAGAAAGACCTCATCTGCCACGCCAGCTGCCATAAAACATACGGAGAGTCATGATAGCCAAGAGAAGTGTTTAGAAAAGAGGGTCCAGCAGATGGCAAAGTGGTTATGTTACTGGACCCCCATGTAGTTGACTGGGGCTTGAGTCCTAGACCCAGCAGCTTAACTCACATCAGGCACATGTGTGTGCATGGCCAAAAATCCCAAGAGGAGAATGGAGGAGAAGGGATTGCACCATGGCTATCGCCCCTGGGGGTCATTTCTCACTGTCTCTACAGTGAGCACACGTGCTCTATCGCAAAATTCTTTCTCAAAAAAAAAGTCCAAATTGAATTCACCTCTCAAAAAAAAAAAAAAAAAAGTCCAAATTGAAGTCAGTTTCAGCCTAAAGAAATGTTTAATTCATTTATAAAATGTTATTATTCAAATATTAGCATCCGTTGCCAATGTTGAAAAATCACAAAATTTTATATACAAATCTGAATTCTTGGCTTCTTTAAAAAAAGACTGGGTGGCACTGGGTCGATATCCCCACATGGTGACCACCATTTGGTTCTGAGCAGCAGGTGCAGCAGCATCAGGTACATATGTTAATTACAAACAGACACATAGTAGCACCCAACCTGCATCATAGGCCTTTGGTTTGAAAATCCCTGCTCTTAAGGGAGAGAGTAGACAATGAAATGGTGTGGTGGAAAAACAACACTAAAAGCAATACAAGATTAAACTGAGCAGGAAAACTGGAGGCGAGGCGAAAAATTAGAAGGATCCCACAAAAACACAAGGAGGAAGTAACACAGCCTAAGGCAAATGATGAGAATAAAGACCCCATAAAGGGTAATGAGTCAAGAAGTGTTTAAAATACTCCAGGCACAGCTTATTAATCATGTAACTTTGTGTGTCAGTTGCTCATGGATAAATTTTATGAGAAGAGTGGTTCAAAAATTATTTCTGACTACAAAGTACAGCGCTGACAGCTTAAGCACCCCCAATCCAAAAATCTAAAATGTTCCAAAATGCAAAACTTTTTGAGCACGAATGTGACACCACTACAGGAAAATTCCACACCTGACCTCACATGCCAGGCTGCAGTCAAACCACAGCAATACAAATACATTGCATTATTTCCAGGCTACATGTACTAGGTGTATATAGAACCCAAATGAATTTCCAGTTTGGACTAGAGTCCCATCCCCACGACATCCATTATGCATATGCAAATATTCAAAAAAAATCTGAAACTCCGCTGGTCCCAACCATTTTGAATAAAGGATATTCGACCTTACTAAGTAAACTGTGAGGCAAACCCACCCAAGTGCCATAAATCAGCACGGACGAATGACAGGCACAGCACCGCGGTTGTGAGGTTCTGACCCCGCACTCTAGTGTCTGTTTTCCAGTTGGGACAGGATCAATGCTCCTTGCAAACTTTCTGAGCTATTCTCCTGACAAGCGATATTTACAAGCGCAGGGGCTGGGGGGGAGTGGGACCTAAACCATTGTCACGGCTCCTGCCAGAACCAGAAATTACTTGGCAAACTTAGAAACCCCTCCACCTGACTCGCGAGACAGGCCCTGCCCGAGAACTTACACAAGCCGTTGACATCCAGCATGTTGGAGATGCCCCGGTCACTCATGTCCACTTCCGGCTGGTTCTTCTCCCGGCTCTCCTCCACCAACTTTTTCAGGGACTTGGACATGGTCTGTACCAAACAACAATAAAGCACGTGGGCGAGGGCAGGGAGGAGCCGGGACAGAATGGAAAGAGCCCCCCAGCTGCCACTGTCCAGCGTGGAGAGCGGCCACCAGAGTGCAGGATCAGAGCAGGGAGGAGGATGGGGCCGGGCGGGGCAGCGCAGAGGGAAGGGTCCAGCGCGGTTCCGCCGGCGCAGAGGAAAACAAACCCAAATGCAATGCCCCACACACTCACCGCGGACGGAGTACCTCGCGGCACGGGTGTGGAACGACACGCTTGGGCAGGACGCACTCCGGAGGCGCGAGAAGCACACAGTCAGCTGCAAACAGGCACCGGATTGAGGAACACGCCCTGTCCCGGCGCTCGGCGCAGGCGCAGGCGGAGACACTCCCAGCTCCACGCCCCGCCCACGCCCGACCCTTCCCTAATTAGGCGAACAGTTTACTAGACGTGGCTCCAGGGCGAGGCTCCGCCCATGAAAAAATGCGAACCCCCAGGCCAGCCAATCAGGCCCGTTGTTCGGTTCTGAGACTCCTCCCCATGCTGAAGTTAGGCCATCCTTCTAGAAGCCAGCAGGTTGGAGATTCTAATTGGGTCCGAACTAGCGCGTGCGCACTAGTTGGTGCATGCTCAGTTGGCTGGTCGAAGCACAGATTGCTGTGGGCGGAAGCGAAAAAGTTTAGAGAACTATGCAGTTTGGGAGTGCAGTGACTGAACGTGGGTTCTAGGGAAGCTAAAAGTAAATTGTCTCCAGTGTCCTGCTTCGGTAGCTGCGATTCCGCTTGCCAGGAATTCCTATCCTGATTTCTTCTCTACGGTTCTGCCTTTAGTGGTCCTTGTCGGGACGTGCATCCTCCGCTGTATTATGCGCTCCTTAATACAAGAGCGCGGGCAGGTGTGTTGATGGAAATCTTGTAGGTGTCTAAGGCTGGCTTTTGCACCAGACCTTTTGGTGGAAAAGGGTCTTGAGCAGCTGGAACTACTCTCAGGGTTAGAAGCTACAAGTAAACTCGAACCATTTTAGAAGTCATAGTTTGACCTTCAGGACTGCGAAATACGAAAAGAGAGCCTTCAAGAATCTTCCACTTCCTCTTCAAAAGGCAACCAACTCTGGATTCTGGGGAAACTGCTGGTCTGGGCCTCCCTGATTCCTAACCCAGGCCCAGCCACAGAGTAATATCCTGTCCTCTCAGCCAACAACCTGTCCTTAGAGACAATTACAGACTCTAAAGTAAAGATCAATACCACTTTTCTCCCACCTAGATGATAGGTAAATGGTATAGTGACACACATACGCATTAAAATGTGGCAGATTGTAGCAAGGATCAAAGCTTTAAAGAAGTACAGTATAAAATTGAATGTCGTTCTTAATAGTGGGGTCAGAAAAGGACTGCACCCTTAAATTTGCAAATAGAAATTTGTAGTTTAAAAAAATACTCCAAGTGAAAGGAACATGTTACATTAGTCTTCTATAACGTGGCACAGCTCCTGAACCTTTTATTTTTGTAGCTTGACATTATCCAAGGGTCTCTAGGCCAGTTATTTTGTAGGAAGTCCTTCAAAATGGGTTTATCTGATGTTTTGTGCTGCTTAGACTCAGGTTATGCATTTTGGGAGAAATACCACTGAAGTGATATGTTTTTCTCAGTGTATTATATCAAGGCGCAGGTTTTTCCTGATACTGATCAGATTAGCCTTGATGTCTTTGTTAAAGTGGAGTCTGCCAGGATTCTCCACCCCGAATTTACTATTTTTCCCTTCAAAGTTGAAAGTAATGTGTTGAGCACTGGGCACATGTGTGCATGCTCAAAAATCCCGAAAGGAGAATGGAAGAGAATAGATTGTGGCATGGCCATCCCCCTGGAAGGGGAGATGGTTTCTCACTTTCTGGTTTCTGTCTCTTATCTCTCCAAAGAGCACACGCATCCTATAGTTAACATCTCTGAAAAAAAGATAATGTGTTAGAAGGATACTATAGGATTATGTAAATATCCCATTTCTCATATAATTTACCCACTAATTTTAGCATCCACTGAAGACCCAAGCTCATGTTTATCAGGTATTCCATTGATACAACTATTTCTTGAATCATTAACTTTTTTAAAAAAGCAGAAATGCCTTTTGAAAAATTAAAAACTGTCTTGCTCTATCAGTTTCTGGAAGTGGATCCTGACTACATAGACTGAAGACATTTATACCTCTGCTAGTCTCTAGGGATAGCATAACAAAATGCTGTGGACTGGGTGGCTTAAACAACAGAAAGGTGTTTTTCTCACAGTTCTGGAGGGTGGAAGACCCACAAAATGCCAGCGGATTTTACTTCTTCTGAGGCTTGCAGACGGTAGCCTTCTTTTTGTATTTTGCAGATGTCTGCCGTCTCTCCTCTTATTTTAGAAAATAGCTGGTCATACTTACTTAGTTCATGTGTGAATGGAGGCCCTTTCATCAATTGTGGTTGCCAAGGTTAGAATCACTACCCTATCACTCACGTTTTATTTCACTTTTCCATTCCTCGTTTTTCTCATCTATAGAATGGATGCAATGGTTCTTGGCACTCCTCTGTTTCAGTGATTGATATAGAAGGATGCCCGGCATAGAGAAAATGCTATCTAGATATTTGTTTTCATTCTCTTGATAGAATTAATCACATTAATGCTCCCCCTGGTTGGTATATGGTAGATTTTTAGCAAACTCCTCTCATTAAATAGAGTTGAAATTTAATGGGAAATGATGACATGTAGAACCCCCATCCTGGGTATTCCCTATCTGCAAACTGCTGTGTGCCTCGCTTGTCCTGCGGGTGTTCTTCACAAGAATGACGGTTCACGTGCCAGCAGGTTCCATAGGGCCTCCAGAAGGCCTGTAGTGGCTTCCTACTAATTCATCCCAGCTGGGTCCCCAGAGGCCAGATGAGGGGAACTCCAGCCAGCAGTGGCTGCAGTTGAACCTGAAGACTAAACGGCAGGAGCGCCATCTTCTTAGTAAGGTCCAGTTGTTGGAGGACCAGGAAAGGAGAGTAAAGAGACATCAGTTAGGGGTGGGGCCTGGCTTTCTCCAACCCTGGTTCCAAATGAGGAGCGGGCAGGGATGTGTATTTCCTGGGAGGGGTGGGGGCAGAATCAGAAAGGCCACCAGGCAATGCAGGGAGAGAGCCCCAAAACCCCCTTTATGCCAAGCATTAACCTTTCAGCTGCTGGCTCATGAGAAGCCTGGAGGAGGAGGTAGTGTTGGGGGTTGGCTCTTATCCAGTCTTGCTCCTTTTCAAATAGATTAGTCTAAAGTGCCCATGCTCACCTGTGTGTGTGGGTTCAGAATGTGACCTTGCGACTTCTCAGCTCAGTGTGTGGTCATGTGGAGACAGTAGACATTTCCTTTTCTTTACAGTTGTGGTTTTTTGCGCTGTTTCAGATCCATGCAGAATACCACTTTCCAGTAACTTTCAAAGTGACTTCCTCCTACCCCACCCCACCTTCAAACCCATTACCATATGGCTTTTTGGATTTCACGTTGGTCCTGAAAGCAGAATTTTGATACAACTCAACCTTTTTTTCTTTTTTTCTTAGAGGTTTTTTGCCTTAGGATGTGTGCACTCACACAGCGGGGGTGGAGGGGTGGGAGTGATAGACAAGGAAAGTGAGAAATCACCTTCCAGGGGAGATGGTCATGTCATAATCCCTTCTCTTCCCTTCTCCTTCTGTGATCTTGGGCACGCACACACACATATACACACATGCCTGGCATGAGTTTCAAATCACCGGGTCTGGGACTTGAAATGCAGTCAGCCATGTGGGTGTCCAGCGATAGAACCACTATGCCATCTGCTGGCCCACATCTCAATATTTTAACAAACAGTTGCTTCTGCTAATGTGAACTCTTGAGTCATCGGAAAAGGCATGACGCATTTTTGCATAGAAAAGTAAGTCATGGCTTTCCCGATGACCCAGTACTTGGTTGATGGTGGGCCTGCCCCGGATCTGATTGTCAGCGATGGAGCTTCATGGTGACACAATTCAGGAACAGGAAAAGAGTCTCTCGTGCACTAGATCTGAGAAATCAGCTCATTCTAAGTTTCACTAGATACGAAAATAAAAGATTTTGTCTCAAGACTGCCTCAGAAAGCCAAGCCAGATGGAGCTAGGCAGTGTGTTTTGGGCAGTAGGGAGACATTGCCGATGGGGTGGGACTGTCTTTTTCTCCACTCACCTGCATGTGTTTAGTCCAAGTCACACGTAGAACATGGGAATGAATGAATGAACTGTAAATCAGAACCAGCGGGCATGAAGCGAGTCTCACTAATAACATTCATGCCAGGGCTCTCTTTTCCTTCCAGATGAATTACTGCAAAATGTATTTAATCCTCTCATCTCCCATTGTACAAGGGAATGTCACCTTCAACCCTGACCACCTCTCAACCTGTAAAAGTCACTGACTATATCATAGATACCTAGCCTGGAAAATTTGTAGAGCTTTGTTTTGTCTCGTTCTTTTTGTAGTAAAGTGTTACATTTTAAAATTCCCGAACAGTATTGACTCTGATTTCCTTCGACACACTCTGCATGCATATCTCCTGGAAACACTAACTGCGTCTTAGGAAAGCACATCATCTCACTATGAGTGAAAAGGACTCGTGTTGATTACATCATTCTACTGATGGAATCTATGATTTAAAAAACTGTTTTGTGGGGAACAGCAAATGGCATAATGGTTAAATTGCTGGACTCCCATGGAGTCAACCACAGTTCGAGAACCTGACCCAATGGCTTAAAACTCACATGGACACATGTGCATGCATGACCATAATCCAGAGAGAATGGAGGAGAAGGGATTGCAGCATGGCCATCCCCCTGGAGGGTGATTGCTTCCTGTCTGTCTCTCTGTCAGTCTCTGTCTCTTTGGCAAGCGCACCTATAGTGTGCTATAGCGCGTCCTATAGTAAAAAACATCTCTCTAAAACAAACATGTTTTCTGACAGCTACATATTGTTAATCATGCTTTCAAAGTAAATTCCTATGTCACTTCATGTTATTCTTAAACTTGCTTCATATTCTGTACTGTTGCCATTCATCTTCAGGTAAAAGAACAAGCTCTTCCATTCATCCCTACCTAGCTTCATCTTGCTATTATTGGTTCATTGTTTGTTTCTCCAGACCCTCTGGATTTGATGATGTTATAATGGCATTGACCATTCTTTCCAATAAAGTGTCAGCCATAACGTTGATATATCACCCATAATACATAATTAAAGGAAGCAGGATTTCTTTTTTAAGAGAGAGATTTTTACTATAGGGCATGTGCACTCACCAGAGAGACAGAAAGTGAGAAATCACCCCCCGGGAGGGATGGCCATGCCACAGTCCTTTCTCTTCCATTCTCCTCTCAGGATCTTGGGCACTCATGCACATGTGCATTGAGTTTTAAGCTTCCAGGTCCAAGACGTGAACCATGGTTGTCTATAGGGAGTCCAGTGATGTACCCATTAAGCCATCTGCTGGTCTCCCCTGGTATGAATTTTAAGCTACCAGGTCCAGGACCCAAACTAATGTCTACTGCATGGGAGTCCAGCAACATAGCCATTACACCATCTGCTGGTCCTGGAAGCAGGATTTTTAAGGTGAGTCTATTTTATCTGTGTGGCTCTACACTCCATGTAGAAATAATTTCTGAGGCCCCACAGGTGGCATAGTGGTTACGGTGCTGGACTCCCACATGGCCAACTGCAGTTGGTGGCTTGAAAATCATGCTGGGAGCATGTGCGTGTGTGTCCCAGACCCCAGGAGCATGGAGGAGAAGAAATTGTGGCAGTCATCCCTCCGGGGGTGAGTTCTCACTTTTCTGCTCAGTCTCTCTCTGCTTCTCTGGTGAATGCACACACCTTATAGCAAAAACCTAAAAAATAAAAATTAAAAAAGAAAAAAATTCTCTAGTATTTGAATAGTAACAGTAAAGTAAAGTGGGCTGGCCCCGTGGCCTAGTAGTTAAAGGAGCCAAATTCCAGATGGTCCACCATGTGGTTCAAAGCCTGGCCCCAGGGGGTTGGAAAACACACCAGGGCCATGTCCATGCCTGCCCCAAATCTCAACAGAATAGAGAAACCCTGGGATGGCTGTGTGACCACATCCATGGTGCCTTCTTTCTCATCCTCTCTCTGTCTCTCTCTCTAGCAAATACGTATGTCTGCTGGCAAATATAAAAATAAAATAAATAGAAGAGTAAGACAAAGTAAAACATTAGATTCTCTTATTAAAAGGAAGCTAAAAGCTTCCTTCTTGGTGTCTGTCTACGGCTGAGACGACCGTGGAGCCCTGGAATGCACAATGCAGTCCCATCCCTCCAACCGCAGGTCATCTTCTCACTTCTGACCACCGCTGTGCTGTTGGAGAGGCTTCCCGTCCTCCTTACGGCCTGTCTGTGCTGAGCAAAGGTGGGAGTGACAGAGCCTGACCCCTGACAGGTTATCAGCTGAGAAGGACCCTAATTTTAACAGTTGTGGGATCATTCAAGAGCTGTGTCCCCAGAAAACACACTAGTTAATAGGAGGAGATTATTATATGACTAAATATATATAATACTATTACATTATTAAACATATGCCTATATAAATATACACCCACACCCAAACATAAATACTAGGTTGTCGAGAAAGTTATGATGTATTTTTCTACGTTTTACTATGCAAAATATATCATGACTTTCCCAACAACTTAATACAATAAAAAATGTAAAAAGTATTTTTTTTTATTTTAAAAGTTGCTATGAAAACACCAGAACAGGGAGAAATTTCTACTGATAAACTTGGGACAGCACAGGCAGGTTATCCCTTTGAGCTGAACTGTAAACAGTGGATAAGCTAATTAAGGGGAAAAGCAACACATACTCAGTCTACAGAAGTGTAAGTGGAAAGGCCAGCACTAGGAAAAAAGGAATATTCGAGAAACATGAGATACAAGTAGTTGATAGCAGAGGGTGAAGAATGCTCAAAGAGGTAAACCCAGAGCAGCATAAAGTCAGAGCAAATGAAGAAAAGGCTCCACACGGCCAGGGAAAACAGAAGTGCAAGGTCAGGGGAGGAAAGCTGACCACCGAGAGGTCACAGCCAACATGTCCATAGTCAACGAGGTCATTCCAGAAGCTCAGAACGGCTTAGGAGTGTGGCAAAGGGCCAGGGTAGGTGCGGTGTGGGGTGGCCTTGCTGGAGTGCGGATGGGGAAGCAGGCAGGCTTGTGTGGCGGGAGGTGAGTCGCAGGTCGCCCAACGGAGCAGACGCGGACATCGATTTCCTTACTACGTCTCAGAAACTGGTCTGAGAGCTCTACTTGCAGAAGCTCATTTAAATCACAGCAACCCTAAGAAACAGGTGAAAGTATCAGTTTAAAAATGGGCACAGAGCGGTCACGTGCTTCACTAAGAGGGCTCAAGGTCAGTGCGGGCAGCTTAGCTCTCTGCAGGGCTCACAATGTATACTGGCACACTTGGCCCCAATGTAACAACCCAATTTAAAGAAAGAAAAATATATCTGCCATATTGGACAACTGAATTTCACAGAGTTCATAATGAATGCAACAAACAGTGTACCACTCAATAATGTTTATTACACTTGATTTGATAGTCACAGTAAAAATTCATACTTCTTTTTATGACAACCTTTTTAAATTTTACATCACATATGCCATAACCATTTGCAACTCTTTAACAGGTTTTTTTAACTATCAGCTCACGAGGAAGAAGTGAGGACAGTGTGCAGGACCGAGTCTAAGGAAGCCAAACACTGCATTTGGAAGGGGTGTGCAGAGAGAGGCTGGTTTCACGTGCACGGTGGAGAAAACCCCGGAAGTCCGAGTTGTCCTACGTGGCACGGGCAGGGGTCACGTATAAGGACAGCAAACTCCTGTCCAGCATGAGGGCCTGGTCCCTGCAGTGGGCCTAAGTGCTGAGGGAATCCCCAGCCCCGCCTATGGAGCTGTCCCAGGTTAGCCGGAATGCAGAGGGAAGCGCCGCGTAGTCAGCATGAAATCTTACCAGGACCTGATTTGAGGATGCCATGAAGGGAGCGATGCTGGTGTCCTAAAATTGGGGAAAAAAAGATATACTTTCATAAGTTTGAAACTCGTTTAGTGTAAAAATACTACACGAAGAAGCTTTGCAGAATGTACAATGCACCTGCAAATATTTCTAGAAGTAACCTTGCCAAGAATGAAGGTAGATACTTACCACAGAATACTGCTGAAGGGGGACAGTGAGAGAAAAAGGGACGCCTGCTAACAGGTACCAGGTTTCTTAGGGAGCTAGTGAGTGTACCCTAAAATCGAGTGCAATGATCACAGCTACTCCATTCTGTGACTCTACTAAAAGTCATGACACGTTCACTTGAAGTATATATTATAAATTGTATAGTACGTGAATCGCATGAGGGGCCCTCAAAAAGTTCATAGGAAATGTATTAAGAACAAAGTAGGCATGGAATTCAAAATCCTAGCACCAACTTTTGCAATTCCCTTCAGTTGCAATAAAACTGTTACTTAAAGCCTTAAATGTCTTCCTCAAGTGCTTGCTGAAATTAATTTTCCTGAAAGAAACACATTTACAACTAACATGATCAGATGAATAACATACACTGTTTTTATCCACAGCATCCCTAGATCCATATCATTCCGTGGAACAGTGTGTACATGTGTGTGTGTGTGTGTGTGTGTGTGTGTGTAGCGGAGGTGCTAGATGGTCTTAGCTTTCCCTCATTTCCCATTCATTCATGTGATGAATATTCACGGTTTTGCTGTGTTGCAGGTGCTCTTTTAGCAGGAACGATATAAAACAACGAGCAGCACAGACGGGAAGCCCTGCGCTCCTGGAGCTCCATTACTAGGCGTCGCTGCCTGACCCTGCCCACCGATCACCGGAAGTCTTACCCCCAGACAGAGCTATTAAGGCATGAGCAGGAGAGTTTTCCTAAGAGCTATACAAATGCACACGCAGTATTGTTCATTCCTGTGTACACCCACTTTTAACTTCCACTTTACTATGCTGAAAATGCAATGTATTCTACGTTGACCAACTAAAATGGTGAGGTAACAGTAGTTTGAAGTCGCCTTATTTTACCTGCTGTTCTTTCATCTCCCGTAGGTTCCCATTATTTAGCTGAGAGTGATACAGAACTGCCCCGTGAACAGTGACATTTATTTTCTTTTTCTTGTTTTTAATTTTCAGAGGAAACATGCACACCAAAGAGAGAGCAGAAAGGGAAGAGAGAGAGAGAAAGAGAAAAAGCACCCCCCCCAAGTGGGGCACAGTCACACTTCAATCTCTTCTTGGCTTCTCCGTCCTGTCAGGGTTTGGGGACACACATGTGGTTGGTGAGCCTTTTAGGTCGAGACCAGGACTCGAAGTGGGACAGTCTCGTGGGCCCCAGCTCCCTTGACCACTAGGCTCTGGGGCCGGCTTGACATTTATTTTATTAAAACATAAAACATCTTCAAATCGTGGTGTAAGTTGTATCTGTGCTAGTAATATGGAGGGTTCTTCCACTCTCCCTCCGTATGTAAACCGACTGCGCTTCACGTTTGCTGTGTTCTATGTTTACAGGTAACACGTATAAAATATAGCCAAAGGAGAGGGTAGTAAGCACAAGGCCTGCAATGTTGCAGCCATGTCAGGTCCTAGGTTTGTGTTTAGGGAAGATCTAGTACGTCAGAGATTTACAGAAACAAACTATTAGCTACTATTTCATCAAAGAATTTCTACCATTTTCAGCAAGTAGATGTGAAATGCAGCCAAGTGTCCAAACTTTCTTTTTTTTGGAGAGGTTTTTGCTATAGGGCACGTGTGCTTACCAGACAGACAGAGGGAGACAGAGAGACAGAAAGCAAGACCCCCCCAGAGGGGATGGCCACGCCGCAATCCCTTCTCCTCCATTCTCCTTTCGGTGATCTTGGGTACGCACGCACACGCGCCCAGAGTGAGTTTTAAGCCACCGGGTCCAGGACATGAACCGCGGTCGACTACATGGGAGTCCAGCAACATCGCCATTACGCTAACTGCTGGTCCCAAGTGTCCAAACTTTCTATGGTCTCATTTGTGCAGAAATAAACATGGGGGTATTCAACCTGGGTGTGCATTGAAATCACTTAGGGAATATTTTTCAAACATGCTAGGGCTCCTCCCTGGTAAATTCGGAGTCAGTGTGTCGCGCAGTAACTGGAAGTCTGTCTCTCCGTCTGTAACAGGATCTCTGTGAGGTTCCTGATACAATTCAGTTTGGTAACTGTAAACTGTAATGTAATACAATGCCCACCAGAGGGCACTCATGCTCCCAGAATAGAAACGGAAGACGGACAACTAAGGAATTTGTTAAAGGTTTGTTGTGCTCTGTTCTTTGCACGTAGCTGTTGATATTAAGTTACTTGCACTGTTTCAAAATAACAAGAGAGAGTCTAAAATATTTCTTCTACTCACTGTCCCACAATAAGGTCCGGAGGACGGAGAGCTAGCGTGGGGTCCGTCGTAGAGGATGAGATAGTTCTGGACACAGTCGCCTGGGTCGTCGATGCTGATGAAGTAAAAGCTGATGGTGAGCAGCCTTCCCACAGGCGCGATGAGGGCCCATTCGCAGTGCGTGTTGTTTGGGTAGGTGCCTGGATAGCCAGGGCTGGCCAGCGAGCCTCTGTCCCCATAAAGAGTTCCACCACAGCCTGCAAGGAGAAAATAGCAGGAAACTTAATTCGGGTGGTGTAAACCATCCAGCCTGCTCCAGTGCACAAGTAAGACTGTTTCGTTTTCTCAAAGTGCTGAGACTCTGCAAGAATAGTGAGGCAGAAACCCTTCCTGTTCCTCCTTCTTTGGGCTACATCCCCCCTTTCCCCCCTCCCCCATCCACCATCTCCCTCATCCACAAGCTTCTAAGGGGTCTTCAATGGAAAATGCATATTATGGAAAATGCCTACTTAAAAAAGAAAAAACAAACTATGTATAGATTTTAAGATTTTTTTGCACCAAATAAATTTGTACTTTAATTCTATTTTTTCATGTAATATTTGATGTCACCATGTATTCCTTTTCAAGGGATGATGTTCTCTAGGACTGTTCTTTGAAAACTGCAGGTTGAGAACAGAATGGGAAAACAAACAACTTGATAAAACAGTAGGAGAGAATAAAGTTGTTATCTCTGTTCTTTTCTTTTTTCTTCTTCTTTTAGGTTTTTGCCATAAGTGTGTACATGTGCCAGAGAGAGAGAGGGAGAGACAGTGAAAGGGAAAGTGAGAAATCCCCCCCTCCCCTGGGAGGAACAGTCAAACCACAGTCCCTTCCCCATCCTCCTTCTGGGATTGTGGGCACACACACTCATGTGCTGGGCATGATTTTTCAAGCTGCCAAGTCTGGGACTTGAACCTCAGTAGGCTGTGTGGGAGTCCAGTGCTATAACTACCAGGCCACCTTGTGGCCCCTATCTGTATTCTTTTGATGCCGGGGTTCTCTCTTTGCACTGAGCTGATGATAATGGTGCTGAAGTAACATGAACAGTTAAATTCTGGGCTGAACTGAAAGAGAACGTAGGTTTTGACCGTAATTACTGGAAGTGAGCTACCATGCTAATAACTCACGGCTCCAAAAATGACGTACTTAAAAGTCAAAGCTCACTGGGTATTGGTTTTAATTTACTTGATCTGATTATTTGTATACAAAAGCGAGCACTACCTACACTACATACCTGTGGCAACTCAGGATCTTACTGGACAGGAAGAAACCACCTGGCATAACTGAAAAGTACCTGGGCTTGGGGTCTGACCACCAGAGGCCGAGCCCCACCTCTCTATAGTCTGTGCATTTTGAGCAATACATTCATCTTGCTTTATTTCCTCATCTGTAAAATCTGGGCATTGAAGATGAGCTTTAAGCTTTCTTTAGGTGATAAGATTTCATGATTCATGACTGTCCTGATAAAACCCTTTTCTTATTCCTTAATACATTTAAAATGAGTCCTTTGTATCATTCTTAATTTGAAAGATTTTAGATATTTTAGCACATTTCATCAAGGTATTTATTTTCTCTTGAGTTGAATGTATTGACAGGACTTGAATTTGTTATAGCTATTTAATAAGCAGCCACTAAAAATGCAAAATGACAGTTACTACTATGAAAAAGACATTAACCTCTGGGACGACCAAGAAATGACAGGGACTGGGACCAGCAGATGGTATAATGTTTATGTCATTGCACTCCCACATGGTCAACTGTGGTTCAAGTCCCAGACCCAGAGACTTGAAACTCACACCAGGTACATGGGTATGCATGCCCAAGATCCCAAGAGGAGAATGGAGGAGGAGGGATCGAGGCGAAGATCCCAAGAGAGAATGGAGGAGGAGGGATCGAGGCATCTCCATTGCCCACTTTCTGTCTCTCTCTGTCTCTCCGGCAAGCGCATGTGCCCTACAGCAAAAATCTCTGTTAAAAAAGAAAAGAAACAACGGGACTATAAAAGCACTGCTACTCATAGAGACATATTAGCATGTCAGGAGTTAGTCATTTGACCTTCTGGTAAACTTTTTCTTTAAATTCTCAAAAAACTACCCTGATAATTGAATCAAAAGTAAAAAGTTTGGAAAAAAAAAACAAATTTGTAAATGAATTTTAAAGTCTTTATATTTTTATTCTTTATATATAAATATATATTCATTTATATGAGACATAATGAATAAATGTAAAATTAAAAAAGAATCCATACTTGTATGTTGAAATCTCTGTCTTGAACAGAAAATAACCAGTTGCAGAGAAAGCAAAAAAGATAAGGTTCCTTCCTTCCTTTTCCTTTTCTCTTTCTTTCAAAGACAGAGACAGGTACCCCAACACAGTCCTCATGCCATGATCCACCCCCAGCCTGACCTGGCCCAGAGCAATGCCACACGTGCATGCCGGGTGTGCTCAGAGAGGTCCCCGATGGCCCTGGCCCTTTCCGTGCGGGTCCAGACGCCCGCTCCTGCGCCACCACTCCCCCTGCTGGTCTGTCCCGTCAGCGCCCTGTGCTTTTCTCACCCTCACTGCTTTATCTGACGAAGCGCAAAGTCTTACCAGAGGGCGATGAGGTCCAGAGGATTTCGTATCCGTGACTGGAAATGGCATGGTCACTCTTAAATCGCAGGTACAGTTCATGACTTTGAGAGAAGACGGGGTTGGGCAGCAGAGTGCCGCAGTACGTGCCCAGTAATGGCGAGCTGCCGTTCCTTCCGTCTCTTACCTTCGGAAAAGAGTCCGTCATGATTAAACTTCCTTCTCCAGTTTATCGTGGCTTCACATTAAGAGGTGAGACAGTTTGGATGGCAACTTTTTTGGGGGGAAAAAGTTATCTTTTTATGTGCTAAATAATTACAGAGTTTCTGAAAAGACACGCAGAAGTCACCTTCACTGATGAAGGGGAGAAGTGAATGCTCAGGTGTGTTACAGATCCAGTGCCATTTGCATCGGATTCTGAAATATCTGTTGATCTTTTGCAGATTAAAAAGCAGGGCGTGTTTTTATACATAATCAGTGCTATAACCCTATAGCTTTTCCTTTGGGGGGATAGTTGTAAGAATGTGCTATAACCCTATAGCTTTTCCTTTGGGGGGGATAGTTGTAAGAATGTAGTTAAAATGATGCATTTTTTTTAAATTAAGGTTTTTACTCTGGGGCACATGAACTCCCTAGAGAGAAACAAAGAGACACAAAGAGGAGGCTATACCCTCCGAGAGGTATAGCCATGCCACAATCCCTCCTCCTCCATTCTCCTCCTTGGAATTTGGGCATGCACAGCCATGTGCCCAGTGTGATTTTCAAGCTGCCAGGTCCAGGACTCAAATTGCAGTTGGCCAGGTGGGAGTCCAGCGCCATAGCCACTATGAGCCTGCTGGCCCCTAAAGTGACTTTTAAAAAGGTGGTGAAGGCAGACAACATCGCCTGCTCTGTCTCCAGTCAACTATTATACTTTATTAACGGTACTGCGTGTTTTCCTATGGAAGGGGCTATGCAGAAAATACTATGTACAAAATAAAATAAAGTTCAGGACAAAAGGGATTTCTGTTTGGGAAAAGAAGACAACTCAATACATCTACACCATTTCTAATTGTTGTTAAATGTATTTTAAAACACATTCTGAGGCTGCATTGCTTTTTCTTTTCAACTCCCGGCAGTATGGAGCAGACATATAAAAACAGGAAACGCATCGGTGTGGGGAATTCACCACCCTGTGATCTCCACCACACCCTGTCCTCGGCCTGGGGCCTACCGGCATTCACACCCACCTTTCTCCAAGAAGACTCTCGGGGCCTCTTAGGGAAACACAGGCAGTGTAGTTGGGACCAGCAGGACATGTCTAAATGCTGGTTTTACGCACCTAGGTATTAAAACACCGGAAGTCCCTGCATTCCCTTTATAACTTCGCGGTTTAAAATTTGGTTAATGGTCGACTGTCTTAAATCATGGAGCTTGCCCAGAAGTACAGTCTTGCTGGCCTTGGATCTGCAGATTCCTTTTAGGCCTATGAATTATAGTAGAGACGGATGTTTTTCTGGTGCTTTTTGGCTACTCTGCTTAATGTTTAAATGGAGTGGCCACGAGCAGGGCAGCCAGTTACCTAGCACCGGTGGGAGGGCCGTTACAGATGTCGGAGGGCCAGACCCACTCCCCACCCTTTACTCTGTCCCCTGATCCTCTTCACATGCTGCTGCTCTGAAGGAGGAGATGAGTTCCTGCTGCACTTGCCAATAGCCTGCATATTCCCTTTCCTCCTCGTGGGAGGAACAGGACACCTAAGAGGGGTAAGCATGTCTGGATGCTACAAGGAAGGCCAAGGCGCTGTAGGCATGCCAATTTCAAGTGGTTCTAGAGCTCGGTAACATTTGGTAACAACACAGTGGAAGTCCTCGGTAAGAAATGCCCTTTCCCGTGTAGTTAACATGAATGGAATGCAGTGGCTTCTTGGTGTCGCTGCCAAGAACGGTGCCCACAGTCTTCCCACCAAAAACCAGACACAGCTCCATTTCACAGGTCTACGTGGTCATTTCCTTCCTGTGCCCACTGCACAGGACGTGCCAGACCCATCCTCTGGAAGAAAGAAGGACCCCTGGGAGGAGCAGTCTGCGCTCTCCATGGCTGAAAAGCGAGCCTTTACGTCCCAGCCTCCAGCAGCCAAGTGGCAAATGTGAGGTGTAGTCGTCATGGTCACCCTCACCGTGGGGGAATTAGGAGCCAGGTGCAGTGAGACTGCCCTAACAGAACACCCATTCCTTCACACCGCACCTCCTCCCGGATTCTGACTGCATTTCGTATAAACATCAGAACGTCCATGAGGGTAGGGCACGTGGTCTCTGTGCACGTCCCCTCCCACAGATTGCCGTTGTGGCGAGTACCTTCATGGCATCTCCTCTAGGGATTGCTACATTCTGTGCTGAAGACATTAACAAAGGACTTGGACTAATCCCATGGGGAGAGTGTCCCAGGATGGTGACAGCCGGCACCCGGAGCCTTGCTGAAGCTCAACTCGTGTGCAGAGACCAGGTGCTAGGACGCCATGCTGTGCCAGGCCCCAGTCACAGCCTAGGAGGCACGGGCAGCAGCAGCCCCAGGGGCCAAGTCAGATGAGGGGCAATAAGGGAAGGCAGGCTTTGAGGTTCAACAGCAGAAGGAGGGGCCTGCAGGTGGTTAAGTGGCTCAGGCACTGGATGCCCACATGGTTGATCATAGTCTGAGCCCTGGGCCCAGTGACTTGAAAATCACTCCAGGTACATGTGTGTGTGCTCAAAATACAGGGGAATGGAGGAGAAGGGGTTACAGCATGGCCATCCCCCTGGGGGCTATTTCTCATTTTCTCCTCTCTGTCTCTCTGCAATGAGTGCATTCACCCTATGGAAAAAACCTTAAAAAAGGAAAAAAAAGGCAGAAGGCACCTTTGGTGGGAAAAAAAGCCTGCAGTGACCAAGAAACCAGTAGCTGAGAAGCCAGCAGAAAAGAAGCCTGTCGCATAAACACTTAAACGTGTTTATTCTATAAAGGACAGATCGTTTTGGGTGCTTACTTCAAATATACACCTGATTTAAGAGGCAGTGAGAAAAAACTAAAATAAAACTTATCAAGTCTACAGTGGCAGACACACATTTGAAAACCTGACTGGAGACCCGTGGACATAAAACAGCTGACTTGGTGAGCCTTTGGGTAAGGTTTAAATTCAGAGTAAGCCTCCTTTACAGATGAAAGTCTGTGTTCCACCTCAGCTGATTTCCTGGGAATGAGTATCTTTTTCAACACAGTTTGCAAAGCACATATCGTGTGAGTGCTGGGGTTGTCACGGCATGAGGGCGATGCTGAGCGCCACACACCATCAGCTGAGGGCTGGCTCAGAAGCCCCCATCCTAGAGACAATGTGCATTTCTGCTCACACCAGCATAGGTGCTGGCAGTGCGAAGGACAGAGGGGGCACTCCTGGCAGCGCTAGAGCATGTCAGAGGTGTGAGCTCTCGGGGCATAGGGCTCTGCTCGCTCCGGGTACAAGGTGGGGTGCCTCTCTTGGTGTGTTTTGGGAGAGGGAGTTGAGAGTGTGCAGCTGGAGGACAGGAAGACAGCCAGGTTGCTGCTGGAGCTCTCTAAGGGTGACTGGGCAGGAAGAAACAGGGCCCACCTGTAGCAACCTCAGGACGCTTGTTTAAGGGTCACTTGTCCTTAGAGAACATTAAAGATGCCCCCAATATGCTGTCGTTAGCAGGGAAATTGGGTAAACTAACTGTTGGGCTGTCAGAAAAGTCATGATAAAGGCAGAAGGCACCTTTGGTGGGAAAAAAAGCCTGCAGTGACCAAGAAACCAGTAGCTGAGAAGCCAGCAGAAAAGAAGCCTGTCGCATAAACACTTAAACGTGTTTATTCTATAAAGGACAGATCGTTTTGGGTGCTTACTTCAAATATACACCTGATTTAAGAGGCAGTGAGAAAAAACTAAAATAAAACTTATCAAGTCTACAGTGGCAGACACACATTTGAAAACCTGACTGGAGACCCGTGGACATAAAACAGCTGACTTGGTGAGCCTTTGGGTAAGGTTTAAATTCAGAGTAAGCCTCCTTTACAGATGAAAGTCTGTGTTCCACCTCAGCTGATTTCCTGGGAATGAGTATCTTTTTCAACACAGTTTGCAAAGCACATATCGTGTGAGTGCTGGGGTTGTCACGGCATGAGGGCGATGCTGAGCGCCACACACCATCAGCTGAGGGCTGGCTCAGAAGCCCCCATCCTAGAGACAATGTGCATTTCTGCTCACACCAGCATAGGTGCTGGCAGTGCGAAGGACAGAGGGGGCACTCCTGGCAGCGCTAGAGCATGTCAGAGGTGTGAGCTCTCGGGGCATAGGGCTCTGCTCGCTCCGGGTACAAGGTGGGGTGCCTCTCTTGGTGTGTTTTGGGAGAGGGAGTTGAGAGTGTGCAGCTGGAGGACAGGAAGACAGCCAGGTTGCTGCTGGAGCTCTCTAAGGGTGACTGGGCAGGAAGAAACAGGGCCCACCTGTAGCAACCTCAGGACGCTTGTTTAAGGGTCACTTGTCCTTAGAGAACATTAAAGATGCCCCCAATATGCTGTCGTTAGCAGGGAAATTGGGTAAACTAACTGTTGGGCTGTCAGAAAAGTCATGATGTATTTTTTTATGTTTTTCTATGCAAAAACACATGGAAACTTTTCTGACAATCCACTACTGTCATTGTACTTCATTTTTATGACCACGCAAAACACACTCTGAAGTCCATGCCATCATCCAACTCCTAGATCAGCCCCTTGCACTCAGAGGTCCCAGTGTTTCCTCAGGTCTGAGACCATGTACGAGCTCCTCAAAGAAGCAGACCGGGTCAGGTGGGCCTTGCTGCTCATCTCTGCCAGTCCTGCCCACAGGCTACTGGATTTGACTGTCCCCGACCTGTCATTCCCATTGGACCATGAGCCTCAGAGAGTATGGAATGTCTCTTGTTTCCTATAATATTCCCAATACGTGGACTGAAGATACTCGGTAAATATTTATGGAAAAGAAATGAATGAATGAATGAATGAATGAAATGAATAGGAATGCTATGGCCCCTTATTCTGTCCCCAGAGTTCATGTGTCAGAATCTCAATACCTGGGACCAGCAGTTGGCGTAATAGCTATGTCACTGGACTCCCATGGAATTGACTGAGGTTCGAGTCTTGGACCCAGGGGTTTAAACTCACGCCAGGCATGTGTGCGTGCGTGCGTGCCCAAGATCCGAGAGGAGAATGGAGGAGAAGGGATTGTGGCATGGCCATCCCCCACTGGAAAGTGATTTTTCACTTTCTGTCTCTCTGTCTCTCTCTGTTTTTCTTGCGAGTGCATGTGCCCTATAGCAAAAACCTCTCCAAAAAAAAAAAAAAAGAAAAAAGAAAGAAACTCAATCGCCAGTGCAGCAGTGATGAGAGGTGGGACCTTTAAGAGGTGGTTGGTTATTGCTGTGACTGAGGGAGTGGCAGTCTTGTAAAGGATGAGTTTGGTCCCTCCCCTCTCTCCTGCGAGCTCTCTTACCAGGTGAGGCCCTCTGCCTTAAGGTACAACCAGAAGGCACGCACCAGATGTGGCCCCTGGATCTTGGACTTCCCAGCCTCCAGACCTGAGAAATAAACCTCTGCTCTTCATAACTGACTTGGTCTAGGTATATTCTGTGACAGCATCACAAAACAAACTAAGACAAGAGTCAAATATGATCAGTGGAACTAAAGGAAAAGGTGAAAACTCTTAAGGGACCCGTCATCTTTTAAATAACTCATTGCAATGCTACCGAGTGCTTGTTACCTCTAGGAAATCGTGTCTGCAGTCACTGGAGTCCTCGATGCCGAATGAATGAAAAAAGAGGGAGATGGTGTGGTTCTGTGGGGCCGTGAGAACGATGGTGCAGTCCATGTTGTTGCTGTAGTTGTCTGGCCATCCGGGACTCTTCAGAGTGCCAAAGGACTTGTTGTATTCTCTGTTGCAGTCTTAGAGAAAAAGGAATAAATATTCATCATTAATGTATGCATCAAAATATTTAGTGTTCTTTTAGTTTGATAGGAACAACTCCGGAGATTATTACATTTGAACAAACTCTAGAAAACACTTATGCAGTTTCTTGTTTACAGCTGGTAAGTGTGAGTGTGAGTATGAGCGGGAGCGGGAGGGTAAGTGAATGGCAGAGCAGGCAGAGGGCTGCAGGCGTGTCAGCACTCAACACTGCGTGGAACAGGAAACGGAGTTCTCCTTTGAGGGCAAATATCCTTGCATCCTGGGAACCAGAAGTTAGTGTAATGGCTATGTCGCTGGAATCCCACATAGTCGACCGTGGTTCGCATCCCGGACCCGGTGGCTTAAAACTCACATGGGTGCGTGCATGCCCAAGATCCCAAGAGGAGAATGGAGGAGAAGGGAATGCGGCGTGACCATCCCCCCTGGGGGGTGATTTCTCGCTTTCTGTCTCTATGTCTCTCTCTCTCTCTGTCTGGCGAGTGCATGCGCCCTATAGCAAAAAACCTCTCAAAAAAAAAAAATATCCTCTCATCCTCTGTCCTTCTCTGGTCACTCCGATGTGGAGGAGGCTGACACTCAGTCTCCTTTTTAGACATAAGGCTCTATCTCCAAGACAGAATTTGCAAGATAATTTCCCTTTAAATCCCTTGGTGAATTATTTGTTCTGACAGAACTGGCAAATTATTGTTCTTTACCACTTTCTAGTTAAGGAAAAAGATCAAACACATTTTTATTTGTTTGTTTTAATCAAAGACAGCTTTGATGTTAATTGAGTTCATTCTAAATATTAAATAAAGTGTTGTCTGGAATTAAACTTGTATTATGGTAATCGACCGTATCAAGGTTTCTTGGTTTTTAGGAAATTGTTTCCTAAGACACAGTAATTCTCAATTTTGTGACTATATCAAAACACCGTTGAATCATAAATTAAGTGGGTAAATTGTATGGCATAGGAGTTACCTGAAGGATCATCAAAAAGTTCATGGAAAATGTATTATGAAAAAACTATGCATGCAATTTCAAAATTTTTTATACCAAAATAAACTTGAACTTTAAATCCATTTTATTTGCATGGACTTCTGAAGTTAACTCATATTTTGATAAAAATTTTGTTAAAATATGCATATGTGTGTATGTGTGTGTATGTATATATATAGTGATTTTCCTAAATATGTCAGGTAGATAATTAATGAAATAACTGGTATATTTTTAAATTAACTGAATGGACTGTAAAGAATATGGTAATAATATAAGCATTTTATTTAGTATTATATTCACTTTACCTCTTCAGAAACCAACTTTGGACACTTGCTAAATGGACTCGATTCTATCGGGTCATCTGGGAAGTCATGGTGCATTTTTGCACAGAAAAATATGTCCTGACTTTCCTGACAACCTAATATAATAGTTACACTCTTCTATGGGTGTGGTTTATGCTAACGAACCTAGTGGCTTTTCTGAATAGCAGATAATGTTCCAGGGCTTACCTGCAATCTGATAGGTAAAACCCATTGTAGAGTTTCTGTTGACAACGGATTTGAAAATGACAATAGCAGTCCTAGTAGAAGAATAAAACACTGGTATGGCTGAAGCATTTCTGCCACAGAACAGAACTGGATTTCCATTACTCTGAAATGAAATGAAAGCAACATCACATTACCATCAGTTTCAGAACAGGCTGTGTGAGAAATTAAATGGCATAAGAAAGTATGCTTGAATATTCAGCCATGAAATCGAGCTCTAGTGTTTGCAGAGCTCTGCAACAAGACTCACATCAGCCTTGGCTTGACGATGTCCCCAACTCTGCAGAGGCAGGAGGTAGGCTGCTGAAATCCAGACTCTTCCCCTTCTTATGCCCCTTGAGCACAACTGAGCTGCTCAGGCTCACTATAGATTTCCTATCCGGGGCTTTTCCATGACCCTTAACTCTATCAGAGGAACCCAGTGCTGTTCCCTGATATAGCCCTTGCTTTGGTACTTCTGCGAATTCCCCAAGGCCGTCAGTGCCTATGAGGTCCCTATTCCCCTCTGTAATGATTGGATGGCCCTCATCACCTTTGAAAAGCATGGGGCAAATGGAGTTGAAAGCCTTTCAGTTCTTGTTCTTGCATGAAACAACTTGTACCATTTGCAGCCTCTAAGTCACTGGTATGTCTGATACCTGAAGTTCTTGGGCCACTGCTATCCCTGATTCCAAACTCCAGCTTCCCGCGTGTGCTTCTACCCATCCACCCCAGTGCTCCTGCTATTGGTCCTTTCCTAACTGCAGTATCCTGTGAACTTTAACTGTGCTGTTAATCAGCCCCCACCCCCGCAGTCCCCTGCTCCCGCCCTTACATCTCACCTTTCTGTACACTCCCAGCTCACGGCATAGGAGCGGCAGGAGGTGTGGGAAGTGTTCCTCACCTCAGCATCCATCCTTACCTCAGAGCTAGTCCTCCTTTGAGGGTCTCTACATCTGGCCAAAGATACCTTCTGATCTTTCTCGTCAATCCCACTTACCTTCCCACCACCCCAAGGCCAGCGCTTGGCCTTATGTCCTCTGTGATGCCTCCACCACAGCATCCTTCATGACCTTCCATCAAGGACTGCTCTTTCTCCTTTGGGCACTTTGACGGTTCCACTTCCACCCAGCCATCATGCAACTGTATGTCTTTCTACCCTACCTATGCAGGCCAACACCTTCTGCTGTTTGATGTGTTCAGCTGAAGAGCACTGTTTGGTCATGAAAAATATGGAGTCTTAGCAGAGACCAGCCCTGCTGCTGTTATGTCCCAAGGCAGCTGCCTCGTGTCCTGTGAATCACAGGTTTGGGCCCATCCGAGTGGTCTGCCTGAGGCCCTGTCTCAGCTTCATGATGCAATGGGAACTTGAAAGAAATTTACCTAACTGTTTTTTTCCATTTGGCTCTAAGTCCTTTCAGTGGGGTTAACAATGAGGAAGAGAATTTTTTACACAATAAGAAAAAAATGTTATTAATATTTCTGTATAAAACTTAAGATTTGTTTACTTTTTTTTTTGGAGAGGTTTTCGCTATAGGGCGTGTGCGCTCGCCAGACAGACAGAGAGAGAGACATAGAGACAGAAAGCAAGAAATCACCCCCCAGGGGGGATGGTCACACCACAATCCCTTCTCCTCCATTCTCCTCTC